TTAGAGATGGGCAGATGAAGCCTTGTGAAGCTTTTGAGGGTTCTTCCTGATTGGACCAAAAAAAGATTCAAAGCTTTAAAGCCTCAAAGACAGACCCTACCAGTGACATCTAGTGGTCAGCTGCAATTATAGCAGCCATTTTCAAATGATTCACAGCTTGTTGATCCCAGTTTCAACCCAAAAGCAATACTCTGCAATAGCAGCTGTCTTCATTCTGAGAATCATTGTCCACACATGAAAGTGTTACTATGAAGCGCACCAAGCACACCAAGCATTTCACGTCTCCTTATAATGAATGACGCCACGCCAAAGATGTGAATCAGTCCAGGTGTTTCGCATTTTTATGTGTGTTTTCTATAACACAAAAATGTGTTTGACAAGTGTTTTTTTTTTTTTGCAGGTTTTCTTTAGCACTTCTTAGCTTTTGTGTCCACTGTTGTGGTACGTCTTATTCAGTCAAGTTCCACAATTACAGTTTGTCTAGATGTCTGTTTGTGTCTTTTGTACTTGTTTTAGTTGGTGGCTTTAGCAGTGGAGGTTATCCTGGGTACTATGAGGCTGGCCTCCCAATGCAGGATGATGTGAAGCAGCAAAGTTCCAGCTGGTATGACCAAGGAGATGTATCGGATCCCTTTAGGCCACTAAGATCCAAGAATTTCACTTATGGTGCTACAGTTAATGGTGAATATAGCAGTGTAAGCTATAGCCCTCAAACTGGCTCCTATGGCTCTGGTCCAGTGACTAGTGTATATAACATTGGTTCTGAATCTGATGTTAGAAGGCAAAATCCAGGCTCTGATATCTTCAGGTGGCAGTTTTGTTTCTGGTTCTCTAGCCACTGCATTGAGTACAAGTGTGAGAAGTAAGACCGTACCCAAGCCAGCACAGCTTAACTATCAAACTGTAGTGCAGACTAGTAAGGAGTCTGTGGCCTTTAATAGCCAGCAACCAGTGCAGACTGGCTCACAGTCCAGTGGTCAACTGTTAGCTAATGCCCAGTCCTTTGTCAAGCCCCAGAGAAGTAGACTAGTTGGTTCCAAGCTATTTTCTGGTGGCAGGCCCATCCCGAGTTCAAATCTTGGCCAGCAGTCAGCACAAGCCAGCTACCAAACCGTGTCCCAGCCTAGTGGACCGGCTGGTTACCAGGCTCCATCACAACCCAGCAGCCTACAGTCAGCACAAGCCAGCTATCAGTCTTTGCCCCAACCTAGTGCTCTGCAGTCAGCTCAAGCCAACTACCGGTCTATGCAACAGCCCAGTAGACAAAAACCAGGACTGACCCGATACCAGCCTGTCTCTCAACCCAGTGGCCTGCAGTCAGCACAAGCCAGCTACCAGTCTGTGCCCCTACCTAGTGGCCTGCAGTCAGCACAAGCCAACTACCAGTCAGCACAAGCTCACTACCCAGCTACCAGTCTATGCAACAGCCTAGTGGCCAAAAACCAGGACTGACCCGATACCAGCCTGTCTCTCAACCCAGTGGCCTGCAGTCAGCACAAGCCAGCTACCAGTCTGTGCCCCTACCTAGTGGCCTGCAGTCAGCACAAGCCAACTACCAGTCAGCACAAGCTCACTACCAGTCTGTGTCCCAGCCCAGTGGCCAATCTGTGTCTCTTCAGCCTGGATTCCAGCTCCCTTCTATGCTAGAGCAGTCAAGTTATGCGTCTCTTTCCAGTTTTGGTTCCCAACCCCTAGAGCAACCCAGTAATGTACAACTTGCTTCAAGCTATGAGTCTGTGTTGCAGCCTGACCCTCAGGATACAGCACCACTGCGCTCCCAGACTACTCAAAACGAGCGCTTCTCACCAGGCATGTTGAGGCTGTTGCAGCAAGTGAAGTCATGATTTTTTTTTTTTTTTTCTCTCTAACAATAAATATCACGAACTTTGTTTCTGTGTTTGCTGTATTTTTCAGTTCTCTAAATCCGTAAGGGCTTTAATGTGGTCTACTGATGCAGTAATATTTAATGTTTATTTTTTTTTTTCTCAAAACAATAAATCACCTAAACGAACTTCTTGTGTTTGCTGGGTTCTTTTTCGGCTATCTAAATCGGCAAGGGCTTTAATGTGGTCTACTGATGCAGTAATATTTTGTTAGGTGTATGATGTCTTCTAGGAAAAGGGGGGGGGGAGAAACACTTGTCAACTGGTAGTTCAATATCTTTCACCTGTGAAGTGGTTTTTTTTTTTTTCCCCCACTTTTACCTCTTCAGTTTTCTTTGGCATTCTCTCTGTGGTTATGTAATCAGTATCAAAGTTTAAATTATTTTAATAGCTCTTACTCTGTGCTGATTACAACTGCTTGGGTCAAGGTGTGATCGCAGGCTCGTTATGCAAAAATCATGCGTAACTAGTTTCTGTGTCCTCTACAGGTTAATTGTACATTGACGTCACTAGTGGGTGTTTCTCCAGTTGCTTGTCGTTGTGTGCATATAAATCCTAAAGACCTTGCTTTCAACTGCTTTTATTTCTGTCATATCTTAACAGGCAAATGTTTTTACAAAGTCAGAAGTTTTAATAACGTTTGAACAAATGGGATGAGTCCCTGAACAGAGAGGGGTGTCAATTTCGAAAGTTACTGTAAGTATCTTGTGTAGCCACTGGTTGCTTTAAGCACTACAGTGCATCACATCCTCATGGACATGGAGATTTGACAGTTCTCGCTGTGTCAGATTACCCCACTTTTCCACCAAAGCACTTGCAAGTTCTCAAACGCGTTTGGGGACACATTGTTTGCCATTGCAAGAATGATCAGCTGTCCTTGTCTCCCTGTAGCACTGTCTTACAACACCCGGACTCTGTTTTAATCATTCTCGGGGACTTTAATAAAGCAAAACTTATCCAGAGTGAGCAAAAGGGCTGGCAAAATCACTCTGGACCCCTCACATCCAGCACACTCCCTCTTTGAACTGTTGCCATCTGGTCGACGCTACAGTGCTCTGAGCACCAGAACGGCCAGACACAGGAACAGTTTCTTCCCTCAGGCCATCACAGGCACAGTTTCTTCCCTCAGGCCTCTCATGAACACTTGACAATAACTGTGGAACACACACTATTTATTCACTCATACACTTATTTATCTAACACACATACTCAGTCTATATTTCAATTTGCACATAATATACCTGTACATACAACTGTCTATTGTTCTATACCTGGACATACAATTGTCGATTGTCGATTTGTATATTTTTTATTCCTTATTTTACTTGTTCTATTTTTTATTTATTTTTATTTTTTATTATCTGTGTTTTTTTGTTCTGTCACTGTCATTCTGTTACACTGTGGAAGCTTCTGTCACGAAAACAAATTCCTCGTATGTGTAAACATACCTGGCAATAAAGCTCATTCTGATTCTGATTCTGATTCTAGGCCTCTTACAGTACATTAAGGACATTGCAGTTTATTGCTCTGGCCACGTAAGCAGTCCTCATGTCTCCTTGCAGCAGGACTATGGCATGTCCAACCAGATGATTTGGGACCCTGGACATCTATCTTCTGTGAGCTACCTTTTTTTTTTGGAGTCAGTAGAAAGGTTTCTTTACTGTCCTAAGTTATTATAATCTGCCGCCTGTAAACCGTGAGTGTATCAAAAACTGTTCCACAGGTGTATGTGTAATTATTTATGGTTAATTGAAAAAGTGTGAAAAAATATTGTTTAAATCCTTTTCAATAAAGATCTGTGAAATAGGGCTGTCAAAATGGCTGAAAAAGTAAATTCTAATTTTGTACTTAAATATGATCAAAATTCGAATTAGATTCTAATTTAAAATGCATAATTTCAGTTAGGGTAAAGAAAAGCTTTTGGTTTCTCTCCTGAGGCCACAAGAGGGTGCATCGAGCAAAATATTACTAATGCACGTTTATTCAAAGCAAGAAAACATGACTATCTGTGAAAAAAAGTGCATGTTTAAAATAATGTTTATAAACCAATTATAATTAATTTAGTTCCTTAAATGGGTCCTATTATGCTTTTTCACGTTTTGATCTTTAGTCAGTGTATAGTGTGTATGTTTGGGAATAAAAAAGATCTTCAAACTTACAAATCTCAAGATGTCAAGGCTGCGGCTCACACAAGCCCGCCAGCCGTTCTGCAACCAAGTTCGCCGGCCTCTCCACTGTCAAGCCCGCCGGACATTTCCCTCTACTCAGCCCAAAAGAGGAGATTGCGAAGGAAGAGACTGTGGGCTTCAGCCGCAGAGCTTGCTCCAGTGTCGGCTCCAGCCCCAGAGCTGGCTCCAGTGTCGGCTCC